CTTTTCGTGTTTCCCCCCCCAGTATATCCAGTTACTTCCATCGTCAAAGCGTTTGGCCAGCATGCCTGAAATATCATATTTTCACTTTAGATATGTAAATTAAGAATCGTTTGCCATTTGCCTGATAAGTTTACCCCCAATTTCTCAGAATACGCCTAAGCATAAAATGTGTTGAACTAAAACATCGTAAAAAATAATTTACATGGCGCGCGCGCACACACACACACACACACACACACACACACACACACACACACACACACACACACACACACACACACACACACACACACACGCACACACACACAAGGACACAGGCGCCTGGCCTGACGCACGGGGAGTGACGGCGCCCCCGCCCTGCCTGGACCAGAGGCAATGGTCTGTCACGTCTTGAACCACAGATGCTTTTTTGGCGGAAGCGTGATAATTACCGTCCGGCGAAATTAATTGTAGCGAGACAAGCGATGCTGAGTCATGTCGCGGCAACCAGTCGAAAGTTATGAACGTTTTTTTTTTTATACTGCAAAGAAAATATGCCTGCACTGGTCGCGACGTGAGGGATTGTGCAAAAGATGGCCCGGGACTCAGAAGGCGCGTGTGTGGGTGGAGGCTAAGAAGAGGTGACGTGACTGCAGGGAAAAGGTGATGGGGGCGGAGTTCGAACATATGGCTTTGTGTTTTACTATAGGAAGGAGATGCGATGCGCTCAAAGCCGTCGCGGCATCCAGGCTTAATGCACATTCGAAGAACAGCCAATTTCTAGCGAGTGTGTTGGCAAATCTCAACATTTTTAATCTCCACTCGAAAGATGCACTCATCGTAAACAATGCTTTCCTATATCTTCTCAATCAGGAAACACCGCTGCAAAAGGCGGATCCCCGCTGACATGTATTGAAAACACCTGAGATTAGCATTGAGATTAGCATTCAGCTCTCCCTCGCTCGCGGTGTAACAAATGCGCCAAGATAATGAATTCAGCGTGGCTCGAGGGAGAGATTCAGGCCCCCAGGCGAGAGTGCAGCGGCGGGTGGAGCCACTTTCCTTTCTTTGCATTATCTTTTTCAGTAACCTATGACTACTATCTTATTGAGACTCGACTTAGGCACGAGTATGGATAGCTAAAGCATCACCATTTTATCGTACTCTGGCATCAATATAAACCTAATAAATTCAGGTGCTGAAAAGTTTATTCATAACTGCAATTGCACATCACATCTTAAACTTGACACTTAAACTTGTCAGTGCAACTGTAAGTTAATCAGCATTTTTCATTTATTGTGATTCTCACGTAACTACGATTAGATTGGAGGCTTATTCCTGTTGGTTGAAATATAATACTGCAAAAAGTTTGGCAACCCAGTGCAATGTTGAATCAATTACTTGCAACTCTGGCGCGACTTTGCTTTCCGATGCGAAAATCTTAGAAATACTCCAATACCCTCAATCCTAACATGTGAAAGCCTGCGTCTATGTGGAAAAAAGAAGAAAAACAAAACCACTATTAAATTCAATATCGCCAAAGAGCTCGGAGAAACAACCGAACGAGGTGGTTACATGTGAGTGTTTTGACGAGATCGCTAAGACAATTGGCCTCTCACCACCAAACCGCCCTTCCATAACTTTACTTTCGGATGATGTGTTCGTGTTCCCCCACTCATGGTCACGGTAAGTGCTTATCCATTGTCCGATTAGACTCACTTGAGACTGGCGAGCTTTACTGCGTCGAAATTCGTCCTGAATAAATGCACGCGTTTCCCTTGCTTTTACATCATATTGCTCTTCAAGTAATATCCAAGAAGATTAAAGGTTCGGAGCAAACATCCCTCAATTCTCTCGCCAATTGAATAATCCAACAGACTCGGTGTAAGAAAATTCGCGGTGTGTATGACAGTATAATATACTAAGAACTAAACATTTCCTCAAAATTCAGGGTAATCATGATCCATTGACACACTACTGCCACTTACAACTTGAGGTTACTTGATAATCAACGTTGGTACTGCAAAAGAATGGATAGTTGAAGAAAAATAATTAATATCCTCCCTGAATTGTATATTTATTGATAGTCTCTTTTGAAGGAATGTAGGACTATACTCTCCTCCATTGTAAGGTACGAAGAGGTGTGTCCGCTCCTAATCACCATGCAATGAAAGTAGGTTGGGAGAACTGACACTGAATCTGAAATGTCCTACTCTGAGACTGCACACGTAAAAATATAATAAAAGTGAGTTAAATTATAGATTAAATAGAGCTAAATGATGAATCTGTATCTAGTATATTAATCACTCCAGGAATTACTTCTTTCAGGGACTTGATCGACAGAAGTACGATTTTAAAAATGTTCATTGGGTCTGCTCCCCCAAGCGATGATGACACTGTATTGTGTCCCCGAACAAAAGGCGAGCCTCAGCTAGGCGTCGTTCGATAGCTCTGCAAGGTTAAATCTACCCTCATCTTACTATTTACATGTTTAGCAATCATTGACATTTCATCTTATCGTGTATATGCTAATCTTACTCAGAAATAACAGATAATCCGGTTTTACGGAGTGGCGTGGTGTGCGAAGAGCTCGGTTCGACGACTCCCGGCAACGCTTCAGGCTCGACAGTATGCCGTGTGAAAGGATAGAGCCACGTGGCAGCTTCGCACACTTGGATCAATGCCCAAGGTGTTCATGAAAAGCTGACGAAAGCGAAAAGTCCTGGTGAAATTGTTGCCGATTTTCTTCAGCTTATCTTGGTTTAGATAAATCGGGAGTCAGTTACGTGGGGCTGAGGAGGTAAAGTTGCCATGTAATGGACGCAATTCTGTTCTTTTACGTAAAAATAAACAATGAATTTTTGGGGGTGCAAAAATGTATTATATAAACCTCTGTAGGTCCGTTTTTGCAATGATGTAAAAATGTCAAAGAGAATGTTACTGTTTATTCAAATATTTTTTCTTTGTTTTTGCACACACCGTTTTGGAATTTTGAAACAATAATTCATGGTCAACCTGTGTTATTTCACTCTATTAGATATAGAGGGTACGAGGTTCATTACTTTCTAGTTATTCACAGACGGGAATCTTGTTTACACCATCGACCTACGCCATGCCAGGAACACGCCATCCTTACTGTGTGAATGATAGGCCGCTCTGATATAACAAACCCTTAAATAGATAAAGTGAAATATAACTACTGAGTTAGGTAGCCTTTTATGATGAATTTTATCTGAATTCTGCGCTCATGATTCTCTATTGAGATGACATAACAATGTACTATTTTGTAAATCTTGTATGCACTATACATATCCATGAACATCCAAATACAATATGGATATCTATATAAATAGCTCATGTATACGAATGCATGAACATAAAAGGAGGAAGGAAAATCGGCAAACAGTTGCACAAAAAAGGTAAATTGTGTTTTCCTGAAGACAGACTTCAGAGTCCCTTTATGTAGGTCAGTCCGGAATGTCCACCGCGGCGAATGTCAACTTATTGTGGCGTCAACAAACCGGACCTGGAAAAAAAGCTTCTCGTTTTCTATGCTTCCGACCATTTACCGTTTTCTTTCGAGAAAAATAGAAATTGCATAACCTCCCGAGTAGATGACCTATCGACGTGGACGCTGATTTATTTAGTGTGAAGTACGATTTTATAATTAGCAATGTATTTGGCAAGTCTCTTGAGCAAATCTAAGCCTTTTTGTTAATGTACCTGTAAAGAAAAAATCAAAATAAATCTACATATTTACTAAAAAAAATGTCACAGAATCCTATTAACCAAAAATGCACGGATGAATGGAAAAAGTTTCCAGTGAACCCCACCAAATCTTCATCAGATATACCACTACTGATTTCCCGGACAAGAATAACAGTAAACAGTGGATCTTCAGGCAGCGGAGAGGGCCGGCCAAGCATTAACATAATTACACAGGACCCGAGAAAATCAGTTCTAAAAAAAAAAAGGTTCAATAGACACACGTTTCTTTGGGAACTCCAAACGTTACTCAGGCTTGAAAACAGTCTTGGTGCTTTCCCTTTTGTGTCTTTTTTCTCTTTTTTTTTTTAGGCATTCGAGAGCGTGACGTAAGATGGGTGGGAGTGACAACATGGTTTGGAGAGACATATTCACATCTCACCTACATTAAGGCCTATAACAAAATGTCTATTATATTCAGCGACATGAGCAAGAACGAAAGAGTTCAACAACATTACTACGAACGACAGATTCACCTGAGGAACATAAGACTAAAATGAGGAGAAGGATTTACAAACCAAATCGCCACACCATTCACCAAGTCGCCGACCCTGAAACCCCCGAAATCATTCACACAAAAAGTAGTATCCACATCCACGCGAACCCCGCCACCCTCGGGCAACAAGAAGCAGTTGCAGGAAAACAGAAGCATCACGCCCGACCCCTTACCCCCCCCCCCTCCCCCGACATAGCACCCCCAACGCAATCAAGAGTTTGCTCCCTCGGATTACCATTCCACTTGACATCTTGGTGATGTAAATGAGGCCTAATTAAGTCGGGCTCATTGTGAATGGCCCGCCCCCTCATAAAGGCTATTACCACACTAGCAATTATTCGCCAGAGAGGAGGGGGTGGGAAGGGGTAACTCGCAGTGATTCCAGACGTGTGCGTGTAAGTGGGTGTTCGAGCGCATGCAAGCACGAAGGTGTGTGTGTGTGTGTGTGTGTGTGTGTGTCAATATGCGTGTGTTTGTCAGTATGAATGTCTGTCGTGTGTGTGTGTGTGTGTGTGTGTGTCAGTATGAATGTCTGTCAGTGTGTGTGTGTGTGTGTGTGTGTGTGTGTGTGTGTGTGTGTGTGTGTGTGTGTGTGTGTGTGTGTGTGTGTGTGTGTGTGTGTGTGTGTGTGTGTGTGTGTGTGTGTTTATTTGTGTTCATGTACGTGTGTCTGATCTATAAATATGTAGCCTGAAAAAACATGCGAAAACTTGCTAGCTATTTCTTCCCACTACCCAATATTCCTTACATGTGGACTTACCATGTGGTTGGTGCTGGTAGTACCTCTCCGCCGCCCTCACTTCTCCGCCACAGAACTGCCTTAGCTCGTACCCGTGTTCCATTGTGTTTACTTCTATTCGAACCTGGATTCTATATCACCTCCAAGTCACAATATGTATGTTCGGAAACCACGAGTTCGGGGGGTTTCTTTCTCTGTGTGTTCTCATAGATAACTGGAAAACGTGTTCAGTACATGTATGTGATCATAGAAGTGATTCTTTTCCTCCACGAAAATTGCATGGATATTGTATCCGCCACCCAGAGCATATTATTACATCAATGAATGCGTTCGGCCGGCTGGCACCATAAGCGTTGGCACTATGTTGTAACTGTCCCTTGGGGGTGCTGGCCCTGTGGAGTGTCGCGTGCCCTGCCAGGTACTACAGGGGTCGGGTATCACTCGGGTATCTGGTGACCTCCCACAGGGACGCACTAACTCTGCCACTCACTCTTGCTGCTCTGCCTCATTTTCCTTTGCCAACTCCACCTTGGCATCAGGTACGGTGAATACGGTCGTGGCTGTAGATTCCAAAGTGTTTCCCAGGAAATTATCAAGAGAAAAGAATCAATGTCTCCATGGATGTCTTGATCGAATTCTTGATTAGTGTCAAGCACCGCCACAAAATGTCTATTCTAGTTATTATATCCTTGGTTCTTATTAGCATCCAGTGTCCCACTGCGAAGTCGTTTTTTCCAGAAAATATAATGAACCACAATATTTTCGATCAAATAATAAATAAGTGTTGGGCAGTGACATCAACGTTTCACAAACGAATGGTCTCTCTCTCTGCCAGCTTCCGCGTTCAGTCACACACACAGCACTGAAGCCAAACACACTGTTTCCGACGATCTAGTTCACTCACTCGGTCAAGTAAGAATAATGTGTTGACTCCAAATCGTAGTCCACAAATGCACATGTTCACAAGCTCCGCCCCCTCCGCGTACGTACCTGTAACCGCCCCGCTCACTGGCTCCACACAAACACTACTCTGGCCTCCCAGCCAATCACCGCGGGGCTTCCAAGTCTTTTCACACCTGCTAATCTATCGTGTAATGGATCTGTTTCAGGATTAGCTTCATCGATTGCTTGTCTTTGATGATAACGCTTTATGTCACTTCTCACGCGAGGCAGCTAAAAATATATTTATTTCAACCTCTCAGCGCGTCCTCTGCAGAGTTGAGTAACGACTTTTTTCTAGATAAAGCATACAAAGTAGCAAAACACAACCTGTTATCCAGCATAAAAAAAATAAAAAAGGAATAAAAAAAACTAATCAAAGTTTTATGCTATATCTACAGAGAAGATTTACCAACGCAATCACTCCATTACCTGGAATCAAGTGTTTAGCTCACGTGATGGATGTTGCTTTTGCGTTACTTGTCGAGGTTCGTGAAAATTTCCATTATCTATTTACGGCAGACAGTAATTAATGGCATCTGTATACGAAAAGACACGAAAAGTAGTTCAAGACTATCTAATTAGCTAACTGACGATTTACAGCTACTCCTCATATCAGGACCCCATTCTTCATATCTTTATCACGGAAAAAAATACCTATAAACATAGCTCGAATAGGAATGCGGTAGCGCTACTCCGTTTCCTAAACAAGACTACCGTAGCGGATGTATAGGAAACACAACCTCCTAAGCAATCATATGCTCCGGACGCCCCTACATAATTACGACAGAAATAGACTCGACGTCGTGTTTCCCATGTGCAGGTAACGGTCCGGCCGCCCCGGGCTGTGGGTTGGCGGCTCATCTGACCAACACAGTCGTGCTCGCGCCGGAAACTGACGATACTGACGGCTTACTCGCGAGGGGAGGGGGTATGGCCTAGGGAAGGGGGGGGAGAAGAGGTTGTGGGAGTATCACATGGACGCCCAGAGTACACAGGCCTTCCTTCCTCTTTCCATCGATTCCCTTTTCACAACCCGAGCCGAATGTAGGAAAACGGTACGCGAGAGTCCAAAAATCATACCATTCACAGGTCATTACATATCACCGTGCCTTCACACTGTGTAAATGGAAACGTCGCCAAACAGAGCTCACCAGAGTCTGTCGTTCGCCACCCATTCAGGCTGGTTAAAGTTCAAACAAGAAAACAGCTGAAACCTTTTTCCTTTGAAGGGTAAAACAATGACTGGAGGTCAAGAGGTGTGTAACCTTTCAAATTTAGTAAATTCTATAGAAACGTCGAGGCGTTAGATCATTACGTAACTGTAAACGGATTGGGAAAACGCAGGAGAATAAGAGATCGGTTAATTCACCTCCGTTTAAGCCGAATGCCGCGAACTTCAAAGCAGGTCCGGTGATGTAAAGAAAGTCAAGAACAAAGAGCATATCTCCAGCTGAATTCATCGGGAATCCAAATTAATGATTATGTTTTGTCCAATTCACAGGCGACAAATACCTGGCATCTGAGTTCCTGTTTGCATATCGTGATTTTGACTTCCCGTCTCGAGCATTCCTTTTTATCTCGTCCTTTCCCCTATTGCCGTTATTATCCGTTTTCTCTTTTTTGCGACCCCCTTCTTCCCGTCCACCTCCATTTCCATCCACTTTTCTCGACCAGCTCAACAAACGCCA